GTATCAACTGAGGAATCCTCCACGAGTGTGAGCAAATGATTCCCAATTGCTTCATCAACAGGAAGACCGGTTAATTCAGCAATTTTTGTGTTCCAGCCATTAAGCTGCCCATCAACATCAACTGCGAAGATAGGAACTGAAGCTGTTTCAATCAAGCGGACCATTTCAGCAGTCACTGCTTCTAGCTCCTGCAACCCATCAATCTTAAGATCGTTAAGCTTCGTGTGGATAATATTGGTATTTGAATCCATGGCATCGGCATCCTTGGATGCATTTCTTAGTATAAGCTGCAAAGAATGGATTGCGTCCATTTCATAGTCCTTCCATGGTACACTTCTAGTCTTGACAACTTCCAGGAATGCTTTGAATGATGACCTAGGATGCATTTTCCTGCCATCATCCTTTTCACCAGGTTCATGCTTTGCTCCACCCCATCTAACTTCAGCAGCAGTGTGTGACCTATACCAGAACAGCCAGCCCTTATCAGATATTCTAACAGCTGCCATACCACACACTACATCACCAAGAGCAAGAGCCCCAGGGAAACCAGCATCATACAAGCTGTCTGTACTCAAACCTGTGGAATCTGTATGATACTCAGAAAGCCACGAGACAATATCGTGCAGCTGAAAGTCGCTTGGGGTCATTCCAAGTCGATGTATCTTATTCTTATAGAGCAAAGCAGCACCATCACATTTGACAAGATCCATAATATTTGGACTCTGTGACACTATACCTAAGGGAGCATCTCGCATCAGCATATCACACAAGAGAGTCTGAGTACGCAGGATATTTTTCTCAAGAATCTGACTTTCCAATTCCAGTTCCTTGTTGACGTGTATGGCAAAGACTTGCGCAAGAAATTCACATGCATACCTCAGAGGGAAGGGAACAAACCTTGGGGTGGTGTTGTGGCAAACCACCAGGCCCCAAAGCCTTTTTCTCTTTTGAGATTGTGTCGAATCAGAGCTTTCTCCCTCTTCGTCCCCGTCATTGACCACAACTGCCATTACAAGGGATGCAATTGAACTCATGTTCTCCATATACTGTAGATGGCAGTAGTGAGGAGCCCTAAGAGTAGAGCCGCACAATGTTAAATCAAATGGAAGCTTCTCATCTTGGACTACCTTCACATGTTTTGCTCGGCAATCACAAATCATTCGGACCTTATTCTTCATGAACAAAAAGCGTGCAGCTTGTGGGATATCCGTAGCAGGATAGTGTAAACCAAGGTAAGGATCAAGGCCAGGCTTCGTGATCTCGGCCACCACCTCTCCATGATCATCATCGTGAAACTTATACGTCATCACCCTGTCATAGCCTGTGAGTTCGAAAACCTCCTGAACCATAGTGTCACAAAGTCTTTCCATACTGCCGCTGGGCAAGGCCTGCAAGCGAGTAATGGCTTTGGCTGCAAGTTTATACGACTGCAGGGCCCCTGCAGCAGTCATGGGTACTTCATAGGGCTTCACAGGCTCGAAATCAATGATTAAGCTACCAGTAACCCTATGAACAATTGCATAATATGGCTTCCCAGAAGTTTTGCAGTGAACGAGGACCGGATTTAACAGAGAAACCTCTCCGAACCCCAAAGCCTTCTGCAATGCAGCTGCACTAGGACCAGTGAAGATCGTTCTGATATCAGTCCCAATGCCAAGAGCTGGAAGCTCACCCACACTTGGAACAGCATGGCTAACCATGGTCAGCATTTCGGGGGCATTCTCGCTGAATGCTATGACCTTAAATGTTTTCTCATCAAGGGCTAACAAACAGCCAAATGGCTGGATAAACTTACCCTTCTGGATCTGATTGAGGTAAGCGGTAGTTACTCTGTCCGACTTGGGCTTTCGCTCATCCCCAGCTACACTTGTAACCCTCACTGAGCTTGAATAGTCAAAGGAATCACCCGACTCCTCGAAATCTGCATGAAGCTTTGCATCTATAGTGGTCTGTGCAATGATCCTAGCACTATGCTTTGATCTTGCTGAAGTGGTGGAAGATTGGCTTGGTCTTGAAGATGACATTTCGACTCAAATCTGAAATAGAACATCAAAAGCAATTACCACCGATGATCAACAAAAACAAAATTATAATAGGAAGTTAGGAACCGTCACGGTCAGGCACTGTCAAAATAGAACAGAGTTGTTAACTTTTTGTATCAGCAACTTAGCAGGCAAGGATTCATTCTAGAGTCTCCACATTTTATCAATATGAATATCACACCCCCATTTTGCAGCATAGAATCTACATCCACTTAAGAATATACCCCCCAAAACCCCCCAAACAATCAACATACTCTGCAAAACAAAAAGCAGGAAGGAGGTTGCATATGTGCAAAATAGATATTTCAACTATGTACTAATATAATAAAGAAGTCACAACATGCAGAGAAATAGGCATAATACACTAAGCTAACAGCTCTTTCAGCTAGATAAACAAAAGTAGGCACAGCTTATTGGGAATTCGAGTTCTTTATTATCCTATAGTAGTAGCAAAATTAGATAAAGATGCAAGTCATTTTCTCTTTAACAGAAACCAATAAGCTATTACAACCAACACATTATTTGCGGAGAGAAAACTTTCAAGATAAACACAACAAGAGAAAGGCCTCACCTTTTACAAGATTTCAGAGGCAAGAACAACTTAGCTTTCAGCTGATCAATACTTGATATATAGAAGTCTGAATCTGAAAGCAAAGAAATGTATAACAAAACTGGTCCTTCCTTAGGCCAACAAAAGCTCAACAGCCAAGGTATCGATCACAGCTTCCAACTCAAGAGAAGTACTTAACCCTTTAAAAGATTCATTAAAACACACACTTGTCAAAGTTCATGCAGACAACTCTACACAAATAGCCATAGTAGGATACGCGTTTCTATAAATAGGAAAGTGAGAGAGACTTTACTAGAAAGCAGTGAGTTGCCCAGTTGTTCTCTTTCCAAACATAGTTTGATGGTGTCAATTGATGTACCCCAAAATTAGCATAACCCTTATTCTTGATTTGTCCTCCAGGTCTACAATAATTATAATCAGTTGAAATCTAAAAAATACCCCCAATTAAGACCACGAAAGTACGGATAATATATAATAATAATTCGTGAGTGGATAGTAGTACTCACTAGAAGGCTTCTTATGTCAAGAAAATAAGAATATAAAGATTTAACCACACACAAAAAAAGAAAAAGAAAAAAAAAGATTCGTCTCTCTTTAAAATATAGTTTAAAATCAAAGTGGGTCTTAAAAAAAAAGAAACAGAGAGATATCCCAAACAATATTTTATTGATGAGAAAACCCACTTGGAGGGGAAAGTATAGGGGTGGAACAGAGAGACCATACCTCGAATAGCAAGTAACCAGCAAGGCCAAAAGGTTATGGACATCACGTGGAGACATCATCCTTTCCTTATCTTTCAGATTTTGAGAGAATTAAGGACTGAAACTCTGAGCTGAGCTGGTAAGGAGCCAAGGTGGGAAGTAAAATAAAAAACTATCAAGATTCAGTTAACCAATCAAGTTGAGGTTGCATCTGATTCCCAGATGTAGCTGGTGACTATGAAATTGCTGCTACAAGTTTTTACTCGTAATTTCTGTTTTGGCCGTTTGTACAACCAATCTAAAATCATTCATTGAAGACAGGAGTCAAAATGAGAAATGGGTCTTCTTCTTTTTTTTGTTTTCTTTCCCATATGCCGGAATAGTCTCATGATGGCAGCTGGACCCTCTTTGCCTACTACTACTCTTTTTACCCTTTACAACGGTATTCCTTTTCACTATTGATTTGACCTGAATAGTGAATTCATTAACTGTCTAAGCTTATTAGCCTCGGAATGTTTTGAATAACATCTTCAATATCAGAATCCATGGTAAAAATATTAATTACTAAGTAACTTTAAAGAAGATAAAATTACCTTCCTTCTTACTCCTAGTAGGTTTAAGCTAATGTGAAATCACATCATTAAAAAAGGAAAAACACTAACTAGCAAGATTTTTTTATTCCACTCAAAAAAGATAAAGTAATCTTATAAATCCCACCATAATCTTTGGTAATATTTATAATTCACAAACAGAGTAACTCACAAATTAATGTAGATAAAATAATATTAATACTAACCCTTACACTAGGCAAATGCTTCCCGAATATAGAAGTACTTTTGTAAGACCAAAAAAAGTTAGGTAAAGAAACATATAAGTATCCAATATGTAAGCGTGATTTCGGTACTGAAGCAATAACAACAAACCAATAATGAAGCATTTTTAAAAATCATGTCCGACTTCTGGATGTGATATTTCAAAACCTCGCAAACGTATTTGAAAAGGAACTAAATTTGATGCATATAATTTCTTATGAAATTACAAAAGCTTGGACGATTATCCTCTATTTATTACTCTATTTGTCAAGAAATGACTTAATAAAAACTAACATAAAATGAACGGAAAGAAGTGATTCACAAAATGTAAATAAAATAGTGACCGAATTTAATTACGTGGTATATGTAATGTACCAAGATTTCACTGAAGCTAAACGTTAGGATATTTGTATCGTATGAGCTTTTCTAGGTCACTACTTAAATTTAGTCCCCGGGCTAAATTTCGTCTTAAAAAGTAATTTGATAAAAAAAAATTGCAAACATATTTAACACACTGAACAACTGGCAATAAAATTTTAAAATTGGTCGCAGGGAAGACCATCTGTGCGAGCGTCACGACTTAAATAATAGGCACAACAAACACTTTGTTCTTTTATATTTGTTTCTTCGCCTCACAGGTTATCGCAAGTAGAGGCAGCTTCAAGTACTTTGAATCGGTTATCCAGGGGAGGGGAGATCGACGAGGATGTCACACACCGTATTGGAGTAGGATGGATGAAGTGGAGGTTAGCATCTGGAGTCCTGCGCGACAAGAGAGTGTCACCGATACTCAAAGGTAAGTTCTATAAAGCGGCGGTTAGACCGGCTATGATGTATGAGACTGAGTGTTGGCCTGTTAAGAACTCACATATCCAAAAGATGAAAGTAACAGAAATAAGAATGCTGAGGTGGATGGGCGGGCACACTAGAATGGATAAGATTAGGAATGTTGATATTCAGGAGAAGGTGCACGTCGCTCCCATTGATGAGAATGGTGCACGTCGCTCCCATTGATGACAAGATGCGGGAAACGAGGCTAAGATAGTTTGGGCATGTTCAGAAGAGAAGCTCAGATGCTCCGGTAAGGAGGTGTGAGCGGCTGGTTGTGGAGGGCACGAGAAGAGGTAGAAGGCGGCCTAAAAAGTACTGGGGAGAGCTGATCAGGCAGGATATGGCGAGACTTCAGATTTCCGAGAACATGATACTTGATAGGAAGATGTGGAGGTCCAGTATTAGGGTTGTAGGTTATAAGGTAGTTGAGTCTTGCCTTACTTCGTGCCATTGTGAGACTAGTCTAGTAGCGTTTTTGTCTAAGATAGCTAGTGGCAATGTTGTGTCTCACTATTTCGCCTTTCAGCGCAGGACCTATTTACTAGCTATCGCTTTTGCTTTGCATCTTTCTTCTGGATTTCATGTTGCTCCTATTTTCTATGATTTATGTGGTGATACTAATATTGTCTCCTTTTGTCCTTTTGTTTTCTTAAGCCGAGGGTCTTTCAAAAATAGTCTCTCAACTCCTTCGGGGTAGGGGTAAGGTCTGCGTACACACTACCCTCCCCAAACCCTATTAGTGGAATTTTACTAGGTTGTTGTTGTTACTAGAATAGATTATGTTCGTTAGTTTGTGCGTGGTTTATAGACAAGTGAATTGATTTGATCCCAAAATGGTAAATAAATTAAACAAGAATCTAAGACTTAGTGTTGAAATCGAAATAAGACAGCAGAAATTCCAGTTCCAGGAGCAGAGCTTCCTAAGGCAGTAGTAACGATATTAATAAGCAAGAAGATAAAATATTATTGAGCTTAGAACAGTATATATCATAAGCTTCTCTGAAAATTCCTCCCACAATGATTGTTGAACTCATTATTTGTAGTTGCTCTTAAGAAACAAGGTCATATGATCAAGCCCCTCTTAAATAACAATTATGGGGGCCAATGAAGAATGTGTACTGGGAGGCTATGAATTACATATTCTTTGTAACGGGCTACGTACTTAATGCTATAGAATATTCTTCATTAAATGTTACTGGGTGATAGACATTTATTTTGTCTTTATCCCTTCGGGAACAGACAAGATTACTGCCCTCAGACTTGATTGCCATTTATTTCGTTTTCCATCTGCTTTGCCTCCACGTGTCGTTTTATTATGCGAGTATTTAATATGAACATATCTTACCCTATATAGATGGTCCCCTTGCATTCTGGTGGCACATCCTTGTGTCACCGGGAAGCTGGTGAAGATACAAATACCTTTCTTGGTGGAAAATTCTCAGACCCCCTCTAAAAAGTTTCTAACGCTTGATTAGACGCACGTCTCTCCATATTTAATGCCCCGAACACGCGTAATCCCACGATTCAGCAACACTTTTACCGTTTCTCGAGATAATCATGGCCACGATTTTAGCTGCCTATTCCTTTACTTATGCGCTCTAACCTTCTTCTTTTACACTTCATAATTTTCTAAACTCTCTCAAACTCTCTTTACTCAACTCACACTTGTTTTCAACTTCCTTTAATCTTTCTCTTTAGAGAAAAACCTTACTTCTTTCTGATAACTATGGCCTCCTTCCAAAAATTCCAGTTCTTCAAAGAACAAAGAAAATACTGATGATGCTGCTCCTTCTACAGTGGGCACCATTAACCCCAGAAGGCTTATTACAACTAAGGACTTCGAAGAGAAGTACCCTACTGTTAAACCTCGCATGTGGGCTGTTGGTGCGTATCCTTCTTCCATCCGTCCTTCCAGCATCCTTGTTGTGAAGGAAGATTGTGGTTGTCAATATTTGAACATCATCTCTCCTGACCTAGTGGAGCGCGTAACCTTCTCCAAAAAGGGTTTCACGTTTACATGTACCCCTTCACTTTGGGCCCGTTCTCATTGAGTGGGGAACTTGATTCTGTAATTTTGGAGTTTTGCTTCCATTACCAAGTCTGCTTGGCACAAGTGAGCCCTTCTATGTGGTGGACGGTCGCCTGTCTTCGGCATCTATGCTAGGAGACGGGGGAAGAGCTATCCCTGGCTCGATTGATGAACCTTTATTCCCCCCAAGATTTTCCATGGGGGAATGATAAACTTCAGTAAACGTGATCACCATGCTTTAGTCACCAGCATGGACGATGACAACGACTGTGGATGGATGGAACGGTTCGTTGTAGTTTCCACTAAAGACATCATCCTGACCACAACTCCATCCTTTCCTGAATCATGGAACCGTACTCGTAAGTTTAACGTCTATCTTTCTTCTAGTTAAAAATTGTCTCATGCTATCACTGATCCTTCTTCTTCATTATTTCAGTAACTCGGTGGACACCACCAAGGGTTGAAGGCTTGGACCAATGGGTCCAGAAGACTTTGGACATCACTACGAAAGAGACCTGGTGATGGAAAGAACTATCCCTTGAATATGGGTGGAAGGCCAAAAATCATTGTAGGTTGAACTTATCTTGTTTTTATCTTACGTATAGGAAAACTAGTTAACTTTTCTTTCATGTTGAATTCAGGTCTTCCGTAGGGCTCTATTACCGTCCCAGATGAGGATGTTTTAGTTGATCCTACTGATACATCAAGGTTGTTACATGAGGCTTTCACCCAAACGGGTGTCATAGGGCATTCTTTCGGTGCAAGAGCTTCCTCTCGGAGTCTCTGGACGGAGAACAAGCAACAAAAAAGGCGACGTTCCTCCACGGCCGAGGGGAAAAATAAAAAGGCAAATAACGTCGCGCCCGAACCAACCGCAGACACTACAGTGATCGATGATGATGGAGGAGCCAGTGATGAGGGGGCTCTTCTACATAGAAGAAGGCGACCTTCATCAACTCAACAGAATACTCAATCCATTGAGCTAGTTATACCAACCGAGGATGACATCCAAGCGCTCTAGGAAATATGATATAGTGGAAGATGCCAACTCTCACTTTCGAGTCCCAGTCGATGTTCCTATTACCGTGAGGCTGGGTACCGAGTCTTTTCCATCTTCGATTGATGAGCAACCAACAACTAGCATTGCTTTTGGTGCAGCTGCTTCTTAACCTATAACGCTATCAGCTTCATTTTCCTCTTCGCCAACTTTGCCTTCGCCACCAGTAACTGGTACATAATCTCCACCGTCCACAATCGTCCGAGTGGAGGATGTCCCTTGTCATGACCCAAACTAATGGGCCGCGACGGGCACTTGGTGCCTTACTCAACCGAGTACCAATGTAATGTATAATTCGTATCATTCTATCATAGGTAAATGAACTAGAAAGGCTGTCATGTGATAATAAGAATAAAACACGAGGGAACACTCGACATAGGATGACCCAACATGTAATACAAACTTATACATATGACATATAGGCCAAAATGATCACTTGTACACAGAACATAGGCCGGCAAGGCCATATAATCTTTCATATATATGACATATGTCTACAAGCCTCTAAGAGTAGATAAATACTATAATGGTTGGGACAGAGCTCTGCCATACCAATCAATACATGTTCAAATTATACTGACCAAATAAGCAACTCCGGAGCAAATGAAGCGCACCAACACCTTCCGTTAAGCTGATAGCCTACTTGGAGGACTCTCAACCTGTCTATCGGGA